TTCTGCAAAGGGAGCAGGACACGCCGGGGCGCCAGCCGCTGGAGCGCAGGGCGGGGCACGAGAGCGGGAGGAGGCGGGCTGAGAGTTGATCAGGAGCTCTGGAGTCGGCTCCAGGTAGGAGGAGGAGCTACTGGAATCTTCCGCAGAGGTGATTTACAGATTTCATCGCATGTGCATATTTTTAAAGACTCTGCGGCAAACCCTGTGAGCTCTAGCTTAAGACACGCTTGTACAGCTGCTTCTCAGAACTCCTTCTATCACTGCTCCCCCAAGCCACCAGCTTTTAGGATTTTTGTCTGGCTTAGGCAGTAACCGGTTTCCTGGTCTCCCGTGTCTATCCAATGAAAGTGTGATTTCGATGCCAAAGGCTGGTCTACAGAGAGAAGAAAGAGAGGTCACTGGAGCAGCCCCCACATTTAAACACTAAGCAGGAGAAGACAGCGAATGGTTGGTCAAGGAGGAGGGCTGGGCACGCACGAAGCAAAGTGCAGAGTGCTGTTAGGTAAGAAACGACTGACAGCGACGGCTCCTACGGGAAGGTGGACTGGAGGACAAAGGGAAGAGCCCACGGGAGGTGTGGAACTTGGCAGCATAGCCAGACCCTCAGCTAACTGGGAGTTTTACTCGGAACCATGAATTATTTAGGAAGGTGTTTTTCAACTGATTAATACACTGTTACGTGCAGGACTCCATATTTCCACATTAAAAAGAATAGTGAAAAACATAATTTTAAAATGACTTACTATTGTTTTATTTTTAATTAAGAGAGGTCAATTTCATTCTTTTATTACTATTTTTGCTTTATATATTTTGAGAAATGTCTTCAGGAACTTGTAAGTTTAATAGTTCCATCTATTTCGGGGCACCTGGGTGGCTCAGTGGGTTAAAGCCTGTGCCTTTGGCTCAGGTCATGATCTCAGGGTCCTGGGATCGAGCCCCGCATTGGGCTCTCTGCTCAGGGGGGAGCCTGCTTCCCTTTCTCTCTCTCTGCCTGCCTCTCTGCTTACCTGTAATCTCTGTCTGTCAAATAAATAAATAAAATCTTAAAAAAAAAATAGTTCCATCTATTTCTACTCTTCCTAAATTCTTGTGAAATGAGCCTGTTATTAAATGTAGCTGCCCTTCATACCCCTAAAAAATGCTTTTCTATCTTGAAACTTTTTAAATAAGATATTAATAAAGCAATACCAATCCCCTCATCCCCCTGGTTAGTAGGTAGGAAAATTCTATCTATCCATCCATTCATCTTTCTGTCCATCTATCCATCCATCCCTCTCTATCCAACCATCTTTCCATCCATCTATCCATCCAGCCCCCTCTCTGTATCTATCTATCGATCCATCGATCCACCCAACTTTCTATCCATCCATCCATTCACCCACCATCCATCTTTCTATCCATCCATCTGTCCTTCTACCCATTCATCTATCCACCCACCATCCATCTTTCTATCCATCCCCCTGTATCTATTCATTCATCCTTATATCCATCCTCCCATCCACCCATCCATCCATCGTCTCTAACCATCCATCTTTCTATCCCTCTATCCATCCCTCTCTCTCTGTATCTACCCATCCATCCATCCATCGATCCATCTCTCTCCACCCATCCATCTATCCATCCACCTACCATCCATCTCTCCATCTTTCTATCCATCCATCCATCCTTCTATCCAACCATCCATCATCTCTATCCATCCATCCACCCACCATCCACTTTTCTATCCATCCATCCATTCACCCACCATTCATCCATCCACCCATCCATCTTTCTATCCATCCATCCCTCTCTGTAGCTACCCATCCATCCATCCAACCATCCGTCTATCCATCTCTCCATCCATTCACCCACCACCCATCTATCCATCTTTCTATCCCTCCATCTATCATCTCTATCCATCCTTCTATCTATCCATCCACCTGTCCATCCATCCATCCACCCACCTGCCGACCATCCATCTTTCTAAATGAAGTTAAACCAAACAGAATGCCTCTGGATGGAAACCGTGGACTTCAGTGGACTAGTGAGGCTGGGTATAGTTTTATCAAGTGCGTATGTTGACCTATACCTAAATGGTTCTAAGACACATACGTGTGCATGTGTCCTGAGTCTTAAGGTAAAATGTTTCTTCCTGTAAGTCACATAAAAACGTCTTCAACATTGCTGTTTTAGATACCCGTCATAAAGAGCAGAGAGCTGGCTTCTCTTTCTTGGTCACACACCAACATCTCTGACCAGTTACTGTCCGTCTGCTTGAGCTTATTTCCAAAGTCTCGTCTGTGACTCCTCTTTGTCCTGCTTTCTAGTCCCTTCCTTCTCTTCTTGCTGTTTCCCTAACACCTACTCACCCACCTACTGCTTAGGTTACAAAAGCTACTTCTAATGTTTCATAGCTGTCCAAATATGCAATTTTATTTTTTATTTTTTTATACATACCCTTAAAACGTGCTGACAGAGCTTTAATTCTGACCGCCTCTCTTCTGACAGGCAGCCACCACTTGGGTTCTACTTTTTTAATATAAAAAATCGGTTCTTACATTATTTGTTCTTAGAGCCAATGCTTATTTTTACCTACCCGATTTTGCATCTGAAACCCTCCTTCGGAAACCACTATTTCTTTCCTGAGATGTGTCTGTAGGAGGCTCCTTTGGTGGTGAGCTCTCCGGGGGCAGTATCTGAGCCGCCCTGCTCTTGAACGGCAACGGCATCTGACAGACAGATGCGGGCTGCCGGGACTTCTTCTCACCGCTTGGCGAGAACCGTGGGGAAACGTGAATTCTTCCCTGGTTCCGTTTAGCATCATCTCTTTTTCTTTTGCACACGATTTGACTGTCACCTACCGACGTGCAGATTCATGTCGTTAACCCCGTCTGGGATCTTACGTTAGTCCTACACCTGAGGATTTATGCTATTCATCACTTCTAGAAAGTTCTCAGCCACTACCTCTTCGGAATATTTCCTTTTCCTCATTCCTTCTACTCGCCTGGAGAGCCCCTGGCAGAAATGGGCTGACTTTCTCATTCTTCACGTTACATGACGCGCTTTCATACCTTCCACACGTTGATCTCTGTGTGCTGTCTTTTGGGAAGATTTTCTCAGATCCACATTTCTGTTTACTAATTTTTCCGCTATATCAGCTGTTTTACCCATCCAGTGGTTTCTAGAACTTATGTTTGGTCCTTTTTCAAATCTACATGGTTCTTTTACAATAGTCTCCTGTTCCTTACTAACCCTTTAAGTCCCGGCTCCTCTGGCGTGCACAGACAGGCAGTATGAAGCCTGACCCTCCCAGGAACACCCGCAGGGACCACCTGCCCTCCAGCCCACTGTCCACGCACCTTCACTGATCCCGCCTGCCACGCCACCCCTCCGAGCTAAGACTGCAGGAGTCCTCCTGCGACGGGCATGTTCACTGCAAAAGCCTCACTATGAAGTCAGCTACACTCACCCGAAGCTGTGCTCCCAGCTCTCTATGTACCTGGAACTTAAATCAAGTCTGTGGCCTGTCTCCTCCATCTTTACCTACTAAGACTGGGGAGAGCTTTGACAGACATTTATGAGTTGCAAATGTGCAGACTGTAAGGCGCACGCAGCTGGCCTGGCGCTGGGCTCCAGCCGCTCGGTGCCGGTGACACGGCCGTGGCGTCACCTTCGCCACCTCCGTCCGCGTCCGGTTCGGCACTGCATTCGGCAAAGCTCCACCTCGCCCAGGCTGGGCTCTCCTTGCTTATGAGGGTTCAGACTCCATGAAAGAGAGCAGAGGCCGCTCAACTTTACTTGAAATTAAGCAAAATAAAGTGGCTTAAGAGAACAGAAACAGAACCTGATGCTCAGAGGTCCACGTTCAACAGCACCTTACCGAGCACCGGGGCACCATCGTACGGGAGTACGCCTCTGACAGGCCACATAAATGAAGCAGCTGATGGAGCTGTGCTGAATAAACACACCTGAGGTATTTTAAAGTAACTTTCAGGTATTCTTAGCTTTGAAACACTTACTTGATTGATCAAACAGCGGGAGGTCACATCTCTGCCAGCACCGAAGTCAGCCAACCCAACGACCTGATCATGGACCACCCTGTCAGCTCGGCCCGTGCCGGCGGCCCGGTAAACCAGAAATACAAGTACGTTTCTCTGGTAAACCGTAACCAGGACATGAGTGTATTCGACAGGAGATTTATTAACTTTTGCAGGTTTTTCTTTTCAATGTGTCTTCTAATCAGGTTGCTGGACTGAGAGTGACCAACACTGAGCACTGTCCCCTCCACAACCGCCTCTGTCTCTGCAGCTGTGTCTGTAACACGAGGGCACCGTACAGGGGGTCCAACTTCTCCCACACGCTAGTGTTTCACACGTACGGCTTCCTACTAACATGCTGCTTTGCTTAACAGTGGAAAAAATTATTATCTTTGTGGGGAGAGAACCAAAGAAAGGGCAATTACAGAGAATTCTTTTAATTCACCTTCAATTATGTCAGTTTCACTAAGGTCAGCACGAGTCACGGCCTAATTTAATTGTAGTGCGCGGATGTCACTCAGACACCCCCTCTTCTCAGGCGAGCTGGAGGCTACCAGGCACCACGGAGCAAGCCACGTTGCCCGTTAATGAGATAATTAGGTGTGGTCTCCGCCGGGCTCACGAAGTCCTGCTGCACAGAAGGATGCTAATAGGACAGAAAGGAAAGGAATGAGGACCTGAGCTCTTCGAGCCGAGGCTGAAACAAAGGAGTCCTGACAAGAGAAGTGCGACGAGCCCAAGGCCGTCACCACTGAGCCCATCAGAAGCTCAGGCAGTCCCAAGTCGGTGGTGCCACAAAGACAGACTAAACAGAAGTCTAGAAGAGATCACTGGTTAAATCATTACCAGCCAGTTTTATTTAATACAGGAGTCGTAATTACAATCAGTATGGAAATTAAGCAAAGACATTCATCCTCTTGTGTGTGATTTAATATGCAAAACAAATCAAGTGTGAGTCACACCAAAGTAGGTATGTAATCTTACTTCCACTCCTCTGGTGGGTGTGCAAGTTCATACTTCTCCCTCACATTGGAGACACCCATATCCAAATGGAGCCAGTGAACCTCCTCTGACCGCAGGTGACTGAGGCGAAATCCATAGCAGGCCACGTGCTTTACTTTGTGACTGTCCACTATCTTCTGAATGATGCCCTAAAACATACCCCCCACAAAAATGACTGTTACAAACAAAAAAAAAACTGTATGCTAAAAATTAACGCAATGTTCATTTCTTTTAGTTAATTATCAGAAATCTTTGGTAAAAAGAGAATCAAGTTAAGCAAATTACTTAATTTTTCTTAGGAATCTTTTTTTCTCAAATAGTATTTTTACAAACAAGGAAAAGTTTTGAAAAAACATAAAATGAGGCTCTTCCCTTTTCTTTAGTGATAAACAAGGCATGGAAATGTACATTTCTGCAGCTCTACCTCTGCTCCATCCCCAAAACCTGACAAAGCATCCCAGCCACCCTCTGCACGTCACTTGCTGATAACGAGACCCGAGGACAGGGTTCTACTTTCTGAACCCAGGATAACATCCTGTTCTAGACCAGGCTGCAACTTCAGTGTCATTTCTTAGGAAACACACTTAGAAACATACAATGAAGGCCACGCTTCTGGTGATACTGATGACGCAGGAGAAGCTACCTGGTTGGGCCTGCCCCACCTGCTACGTGCTCTCTATGGATTACAGTGCAGCAATCCGAACAGTCCCTAGACCCGGTGCTCCTAACACATGTGCCCTGAGTTCAGAGACGAAGGCGGGAGGGAAGGCTGCCTCGCCAAGATGAAGCTTATCCTGGGACTCGGAAAGGGAAGCAGCAGCCCCGAGTCCTGACCTGTGCCCGCCTAGCTGTGGAAGTCACATATGCACACGGATGTCAATGGGCAGCACACACGGGGCCACACAAGGGAGTCCAACAGTCCGCCTGTGTGCTTACGGGAGGGTGTGCTAATCACAGTCCACTGCACTCTTCTCCATGCTCCAGGCCATTCATAATTTCTAATGACGCTGATATTAATAGGAAAATGACTGCCAAAGGAAATCGTCACTGCTTTGTTTTAAATTAGCAATTAACTGAAGGTATCATACTACTTGTAATATAAGACACGTCTTAAAAAGTCCCCACGCACACTAAGTATTTCCATATTAGGACATGATGCTGTCGATAATAAGGATGTTCCTGTCCCTATTCCTGAGAAAAGAGAAACACACGTACTATATATGCAAAAGCTGTCAAGGACCCAGTGTGTCCATGCCAAAGGCAGCACGTGACACCTGCCCATGGCCAGCCTCCCTTTCAGACTACTGGATCCCAGGAGAAGGCTGTGTATCAAGCATGGGAGAGTGACAGGGAAGGGGAGAAAGCAAGGACAAAGGACTGGGCTGGAGGAGTCACAGGCCACTCCGCAGAGCAGACGAGCTCTCCGTGGGACAGGAAGGATGTGCGCAGCCCACAGAAGTCTGGGTGAAAATGAAGTAGGCGTTAAGTGTCCTTCCTGGCTTTCGGATTCAAGGGCCGGAATTTCTGATGGGGACACCGTGAAGGACGCTGCAGCCAGTGTCTACCCAAGGGCACTCAGCCAAGGGACAGCAGGAGCTGACACCCAGCCCGCCCCGTCTTCATTCCGTGGGCTCGGGGTGGGGGATCTGCCGAGAGGAAGAGACCTCCATTTCTAGCAATTTCCTCAGAGGCGGCTTCTACAGCTTCTCCTTGCCAACAGCACGGATCTCTGAGCTGCACAGGACAGGCACTGGCACCTCTTTCAAATCCCCACAAAAGCGCTTTGTCTTCCTGTCCCAGCTCTGCCAGTGCGCCACCGAGTGCACAGTGACACCACTGCCCTCGCGAAGGCTTGGGTTCAGCGCATCTTCTCTCCACTCCACGGCGGCTCCCTGGCAGCTGGCCGATTCCAGAGCCACCTCGCTCCTGTTAGGGCCGCAGTTCACATCTGTCCCCAACCACCGGTCTCAGGGGGTCTATCCTTTGGGCACAGACCGTTTCTGACCATTGCACGTGCTATGAACAGTCGGGGAGAAATCCCACCTTTCTGGATGCCTTCCCTGAGGACCCCCAGCAAAGGTTATCCTCATGACCCCTCAAGGAATGGGCACGCAGGTGCCCACCTGCAGAGGGGAAGTGTACGGACGCTTAGTCCAGAACTGTGGAGCCCGGGGGAAAAGCAGGCTCCCAAACGGGAGTCTTGTGGGGCAGATACAATTTCAGTCCATTCACTTGCTCACACCACCTGAAGACACCCAGAATGACCTCGGGTTTGGTTCTGTGGAACAAAGAGCTCCCATCCTGCAGGAGCTCCTCATGAAACAAGGCTGTAACATTCACTTTTCACTAAAATATTAACAGCAATTAACACACAGACATTCCCCTTCATTTCCTGTTTTGCTTTTTCATTATGCTTCCATATTGTGTTCTGTCCTACTTCTCTAGAACCCCTCTATATCTCGTTGCTGACTCAGCTCGAGCGGCAGCCAAGATTACGGATATGCAAGGACTTACATATCTGAAGCTCAGTATACACACTGAGTAACGTAAGTAATTTTGAAAACTAAATATTTGGTTCTGTGTAACTGAAAAGTAACTTTGAGAACTAAATATTTAGTACGGAATGCACACTCAAAACAAACCACCCCAACGTTACTACCATATGGAATGTATGCACATATCACACGTTATTACTTCTGGAACACACACGCTTAGAAAAGGACCTCTAGGGAGACAACAGGACAAGGATTTACAATATGCCACTAATGGCACCTGAATTAAATTTAAATTTCTCAACCTGGCTTTGATGTCCCAGGACAATCCCACCCAGAGTATATAAACCTACATTTAGCTACTTTGAAATATCCCTTTACTCATCTATATCATATCCCAGAATTGGGAAATATATAATATTCCTGATTAATTTGGACATGAGATATTCATAGGAAAAGGATTCAGGAATGAAAGACCCTAGCCAGTGTGGGCACCATGCTTCTGTCTTATCAGGAACACAACACACAGCCTCCAGAGCCATTCTCTTCCGAGTGGACAGTTATCTTCTTGTTGGCTTCCTTGCTCTGGGGGAGAGCGGAAGTGAGATGTGTGCGGTACCGCCTCGAACAAGCTTCTAGCTGGTGTCACACACGAGCAGCACTGCTTAAAAACAGATGCACTGGATCAAAGGCGACTTAAAAATGTGGCATTTTGGAAGTATGGCCACCAGGGAAACTACAGCAATGATACTTGGCACATAATGTTCGAGACTGTCCTTCATCTCATGCCAATGCCGGATAAAATCAATCCAAGTGTTTAATCAATGTGATGGACAGCGGGGTGGGGGCGGGGCATTTCATTGTTGTTCTAGTTTACCTTTCCCTGATTATATACTAGTAAGATGACGCTGTAATTTCATTTTTAAAAGTTCTTTTTATGATTCTGCTTGGTTCAACTTGGTCACTTATTTTTCAGACAATACTCTAGAAAGAAATAATGACCTTTCAACTGGTAGAAAGAAATCCTGCAAACTGTCCCTTCACGTCCATTCACTCTTGAATATTACTCACTCATTTGGTGAGTGAACACGTCTGCATCTAGCCTACATACGACGGGTAAGACAGAACCCGCACCCTCCGAAGCCTTAGTCTAGAAGCAGAGAGGTGATGCTGAAAACATACACTAGCACGGCCAGTCTGCAGGGAAGGTGGCAACCAGAGAGCAGGAGACATTTGTTCTGTCTAGCTGTCTTCTCAGGGATTTACAAGGCTCCTTTATCACAAGAGAGATCTGAAACCCCACACGGTGTTGTTAACAGCGCTCATCTCTTTACTTCCTCCCAGGAGCTGCAAGCGCAGTCATCACTCCTGATCTGCTCATTACAATGTCCGGCGGTTCCTGTTCCGTGTCTCTCTTTCAGATGCTCTTCACGGTAAGGAAGCCAGCTGCTATCACTGTCGGTTCGGCACTCGGCCTGAAGTCGGCCCCGAAGTCCTCCGGGACAACGACAAAGTCCTTCTCCTACTGCTGCTCTGACAGATGACCACAAACTTCTGGGCCTAACAGAACACAAACGCGTACTTTTCAGTTCTGTAATATCACAAGTCTGAAATGGGTCTCACTGGGCTAAAATCAAGGTGTTGGCAGGGAAGTGCCGCTTTCTGGAAGCTCTTGGCTAGCCTTCTCCAGCTGCCAGAGGCTCTTCTGTGCATCCACAAAGCCAGCAGCGCTGCGTCCGACCCTTCCTCCGCGGCCCCCTCCCTCTGACCACAGCCAGAAAAGGTCTGCGGCTCCTCATCTCCCCCATCTCAAGGTCATCTTCATCTTGGTCACATCCGCCATGGAAGGTCACGTATGCACCAGTTCTGGATTAGGACGTGGACCTCTTCAGGGGCCATTATCCTGCCTGCCACAATCACCAACTCTGCAGGTCTAACGACAGAGAATTAACTTCCTCATGCTTCTGCAGTCTCATAATCTTCTTAACACTGCTTTGGACTCCATTTTTTTCCCTAAGGTTTTTCTTTCTAGTTTCTTCCTGGGTGACACTCTCCCTCCATTAAAGGAATAATTTAACTAAAATCTCTGTAGTCCTTTCCTGCACCAAAATTATTTGAATACACAGTAATCAGTGTTCGAGTTTTTAAACGCACATTCACCGGCTCCTCAGCAGATAGAAGTTGACATTTGAAAATGGAGACACGCAGAAGGCATCAGCGCTGGCGACCACGGGAGAGACCACGGGGCTGCTGCACACAGAAGCCTCCGGGCAGCCCTCTGCGGCTGAGCTCGGGGAAAACTGCCTGCTGGGTGCCCTCCCCGACAGCCACCAGCCATTGCTCGCACAGCACGGCTCTGTTCACAAAGCTCCCGACATCCACCAACTCACAGAATCGCAAACTGTTCAAGTGTTTGTGCACCCTGATCAGAGAGCTGATTTTAAACTGATCAGAACGTTTCTCTCTACTGTCATTCTTCCCACTACCAGCTCGGTTCCAACAGTCCCAATCCAAACACATTCACCTTTTAGCAAACCACAGGACTGATTTCCTCTCGCAACTTCCCGCAATTCCATCACGTTGCTCTAGAGGTTCAGGACAAGCACGGAAACTTCCGAGTGCACTGCACAGTCAAAAAAGAGCCTCAGGCTCGTTAGTAAACTTGAAGATACTTTGAACGTGCCAACAATACTGTCCAACAACTCAACTGCAACTTAATCTTCAGTGGCATCATATGGTACCTGCCCAGATTTGGTGTCTGGGTACAAATGGATTGTTTCAGACCCTGTGATTTAAGGAAAATAGTAACAAGGTGGGACTGAAGGTCTGACAGAAGTTATCAGTAAGCCCAGGTATGGTTTTCAATAGGTGTTATCTCTATCAGTTCAATTTCTTTTAGGATTATTAGTCTACTACTTGGTACTTCTGCAACCAACGTTCCTAATTTACATTTCTGTCGGAAATACTCCATTTCCTCTAGGATTTCGTGTAGTCACTGCAATGGGGATCTGCCAGGTAGATGCTGTGTGCCTGCGAGGCCCTGCTGAAGATGCTGGGGACATCAGTAGGAGGCAGGAAGGCCCCTGCTGTCACAGAGCTTTCAGTCTAGGGGAAGAAAGCAGAGAATAAAAGAGTAGACAAATCAAGAGACAAGACAATCTCAAGGAGAAATCACCATCAAAATGGGGTGACGGGCAACAGCAAAGATGGAAAAGAGGGAGCCCTCCTGGGCTGGAGGCCAAGGGAGTAGGGGCAGTCACAGAAACTAGCTAAGAATGGGCCACGAGGAGTCCATTCTCATAGGCCACTGAAGGAACCCGGTTTTCCTGAGAGAAATGGGAAGCTGCTGGAAGTTTTGAGCAAATGACTCCAAGACCGGCATGTTGGAGAAACAGCCCAGGAATCAGCAAGTCCAAGGGAGCAAGCCGGAGGAGAGAAGGCTGTGGAATGTGACAGGGAGAGGAGAGTCAGGGGCTTCTGAAGGAGCTGAACGCTCACCCTCCACGAGACAGGAAGCCACAGGAAGGTTCTGAGTGGAGGAGTGACACGCTCTGGCTTTTTCACAGGATCACCTCATTGCTGGACTGTGAACAGACGGAGGTGTCCCCAGGGGACGGTGGGATGTCAGGAGACCAAGTGGCTCAAAGAAGGTGTCACAGCAGGGGTCAGATGACGTGGGTGGATGCTGGGTGCATCTGGGGAACCGTGTGGACACAAACAGCTACTGAATTAGACACGGGGCGTAAGCGAAGGAGGAGCAACAGGTGATTCTAAGTGTCTGAAAGAAGGGAGGCCCTCGATGGACGTACAGACAGTCCTTTCGGAGTCAGAAGCACGGAGACGGACGAGGGGGCAGAGGCAGCTGGGCGGCACAGGTCCCAAGTTCAGAGGGAGACCAGTCAGAACAGGGGACAGGTGTGGAGAAGGCAGAGCTGGAGTAAGCGCTGGTCACAGCCTGAAGAGACCACGGCAGTGGAGGAGAGGTGCGAGGGGGCTGCACGCAGGCCACAGCCTACATCCCTCCAGCACTTCTTTCTGGGCTCACGGGTCTGATCCATTAAGTCTCCTAACTGTTTTCTTAAGGAGAGCCTGTGGTGTTAACGTCCTACACCCTACTTCCCTACAGACACCTTCATTCCACGTCTTCACGAGCAGTCTGTGTGGAAGACTTCTGAGGTGCAAGTTCCTTCCCTGAGCCCTGAGAAGACACTGTCCAGTGTGGTCCTGCATCCAGCACTGAGGATGTAAATGTCACTCTGTTTCCCAAGCAGGGGATTCCTCTGGTAGAATCTGAAGTTTCCTATAACTCTTATTACTCCGAAGTACCACGACCACGTTTCTAGAGGACCGTTCGTATTCAACATAGTCCGGCACGGGTTAACCTTGGTGCTTTGGGGTTGGCCTCAACCTGAGCTCTAGAGCTGCCTGGAGCACGCGGCTGACACGGGGCCAAAGCCACGACCAAGGTAAGTGGTCTCTGCGTCCGTGGGCCGCTGCTTCCTTAGGGCAGGATGCGCGAGCCCGCCAGCACTTGTCGGGAATCGTGACTGGGGGTACGACCTGCACCTGATTCTGGCGGTACCTGGGCAGTCACATGGGTTGAGGCCGATGGCGTAGAGGGAAGGTGCTCCCGTGCCCGTCTCACAGACCCCCACAAGGAGGTTCGGGGCCTCCTCCCACGGCCTCTGAGTGTCCAAGGCCACAGGGCCTGCCCCTGAGACTCTCAGGTCCCTTCACAAAGGAGCCTCTTCTGTTGCTGCCTGGCACACGTTGCCCATAACTGGCGGGGTCCTGGGGATCCTCTCAAGAACCGAACATTGAAATTAACTACATAGGAGTAGCACATACATGTGAAAGGAGCAAAATTACAAGTGCAGCATGAGAAATCAAACCTCTGTAATGAACTACAACAGGAATCCAGATATTTCCTGTTGCAAATAAGCCTCTCAACGCCCCCAGAGGTGGCGGTGCTTCGGAGTCAGGCAGTCTCTCTGATCGCTACTTTCTACAGAGCACCACTGTCTGGCAGAAATAAAAATGCAAGCAAGCTGTATGTTGCTTCAAAATTTCTAAAAAAAAAAAAAAAAGGTAAAAAGAAATGGATGAATTCAATTTTAATAACATTTTATTTAACCTACGATGTCAAGAACGTGGTCTTTTCAACGGGCAATCAAAACAGGAGATATTTTACATTCTTCGTCCACACTACATCTGCAAAACCTTGTGTTTGTACCAAGAAAACAGCAGCTGAGACTAACTACTTCGGGGCACGTGTGCACGTCACTCGGCTACTGGGGTAGGCAGCGCGGCAGTGAGGGTCGGAATGGAATTACCTCGTTGTTGTGGACGACAGTAAACCATCTCTTTGCAGAAACCGGGCGGCCTGGCTTCTTCTCTGCTACCGTCACTACCTGGTCTATTTCTTTCCGCCAAGTGCCCACACTCCCACTCCGAGCTCACCCCTCACCCCATTTCGGCTGCAGGTCACTGGGCCCCAAATGCGGCCATCTTCCTTCCACTGTACTCCCGCCTAACCATGTAGGCGAGTTCCTTTATCCGAATCGTTCCTTGTGTGCTGCTCCCTGGGGACAAAGACGGCATGGACACGTGCTTCGGTCCTATTTTGTTCAGTCGTGCAGATCCATCAATTCACAATTAAAATACTGCACTTCCAAATGTCACCGCATTGAATGGAAGCAGGTCATGAATCACACCCGCTTCCATCACAGGAAAAGCTCTCGTGAACCAATCAATGCCAACTCAGAGTTCTTTGCCTCAAGCTGAAAATCATCAACTGATGGGACTGTTAAATTTCAAACATTCATCAATTACTATGAAATAAAGCCACCCAGGTCTCCGTCACATGGATGTGCTCGTACTGATCTTCATAAAAGTTCAAGAAATACGTTCTCATAACTCAGGCATGTGAATATGGCTTTTTCTTCACAATATAAATGTTTTTCATGTCTGATAAGTTTGTAACATTGGCTACAGGCTCGACATGCGCCCAGTGATCACTGGTTTTCTCCTTGACGTGGATCCTCTTGTGTGCAGTAAATCTGACACCAAAACACCTTTGTCGTGGAGCCTTTCCAAGGTGCATTTTCGGATATAATCAATCTTGAGTATCTGCTAAATGTCTTCTCAAATTCACATCTCTGCAAGGCACCCCTCCTGTACAAATACTCAGAAGTTTATGAAGGCTGATGCAATGTTTTTAACAAACTTCCTCATTCACTGTAACTGAAATTCACAAAGACTAGAACATACGCTAAGAGCCTTCCCATAAACTCTACGTTTGCAAGGTTTGTCTCCAACATAAATCCTCCAATTAACATTAGGACAGAACACTAGCTGCTGGCCTTGCTACCAAGTGATTGTGTTTATAAGGTTAAATGTAAAACAAAACTACAGGAAAATTAGGAAAAGCCACCAACCTTCATAAAAAGTTTGTAACAAGAGACTACTACATTCAACTGCAGCACATGAACAGATGTTAATACATATTTAAGCCTGAAGGAATTATTCACCTTTGAATAATGAATCCGCCTGAACAGCGAGGACTCCAACATTATAGAGATAATGGGAAATTATCCCTTTAATTTGCTAAAAGTACTTCAGGCATATAAGTTAAAGAGAAGCAGATGAATTAACTTCATTATTATGAAAAGAAAGGAGGAACAGACACATCTGTTCATCCTGCACTGGACACTGTCCTCCCTAGAGATGAACATGGGAGTAGGTAGAGGGGAAGGAAGGAGCAGTGGTTCTCTAACACGTGGACAAAGGAAACACTTGCTGAAAACTGATGTCCTCAACTCCGTTTTCTGAAAGCACACTGCTACCCGCTCACCCCGCCGACTCTCAGCAGCCTTGGCTCATCGCGCCTCTCAGCACTCCTGGCCCGCAGGCTACCAGCCACGCGCGACATCACGCAGGCTTCCTCACCCCCAGGCTCGGCGGGGAAGCACACTCTGTCTGCCCTGCAACTAAGGCCACAGGTGTCCCCCTCCCCGCCCCAGCAGACAGGAGGCTGGAGCAGCAGGGACCCTTGACAGCCCCAGAACCTTGGCAAGTGGCTGGTATACGGACCCAGTCGGTTTTTGAAGAACCTATCCTATCTGGGGTCATGCAGATACCTTCAAGATTCCCTTTCTAGAAAATAGTTTATTTCCTAAGTAGTAGAGGTTATTTTAATTACTTTGTTCTCTTCTATGCTAAAGAGCTTTAAAAAAGGGAGAGAGAAAAACATGCATAGCTTTACATGGATAACATATGGTTCAATTATTATTTTCCTAAGAGATTTTACACTTAAAGTTATGGTCAGTCACATGTTACATGAATAAATACGATAAAGCAAAAGGTAACATCACTGTAATACGGGAATACAAATTTTTATCTCTTTTTGGTCTGTGCCATTAACCTACAGGCTTATTTAACCTAAATGTCCATGGCGCCACCTCCAGGAAAATGTACCTACCCGGACGTCCGTCGCATCCCCGTGCCTGATGATACTGGCCCAAGTAGCTGGTTCGCTGCTGTTTTCAAAGTAATGAAAGACTTTCAGCACCCGCTCCATTGCCCCAGGGGACCGCTCCGCGCCGGCACCCAGGTGAGTCTTGGTACTCGAATGCGGTGTGTGGTTCAAGTTTGGGTCAAGGTAAGCGGCCGCCATTATTTTGGCCGACGCTGTGTGTCTGTCATACTCTAGAAGAGAAAGAAAAATGGTCAGTCACCGTATTGGAAATCTATCAAAATGTGGTTAAAATCTATTAAAACGTGGCATGCTGGTCCCTATACTAACAACACTGTTCCATGTTCTTCCCTTCTGGTCACGTCACACGCAGAAGGCGAGCATGAGGAGAGCGGAGACCGGACTGACCGGGACAATCCCTGCTCCCCTGCACCCACGGCGGCACCGAATTCACAGCAGCACCACAAATACTTGTTAAATGTTTCTTAACAAATTAAAAGGTCCTATTTCAGCTCCGTCAAAAGTTCACCATCTATAAACAATATCCCCTCACCGTCCTCCCTTTTAAAATCACAGCCTTTAAATCTGGGGGAAAATCTCACAGGAAAGCCAAGTATGTTCATTTTGCTGCCTCCGTTTGAAAACCTTCACGTGAGCTGCAGCTCTTTCTTCACACAACGAACGCTCAGGGAGTGGCAGGACACATACAAGGCCCTGGAGTCGAAAACCCCGGAGGTAAGGCCAGGCCCTCCCGCCTAGCCAGTCCCTCAGCAGGAGAGTCAGCCCAGTCACGGCTGAAAACAAAACTGAACCAGGAAGCAAAAACTAACCCAAGCGTGTCCGTGTGACAGGAGGACGCCCACCTGAACGTGGGGGTAGCTCAGCCAAGACGAACACTCCCACTGAGAAAACTCAGAAAAGATTAAAAACCAGCCCAATGTTTTCGAGTCCGAGATGTTGTGAGGCAACCAGGACAGCAGGGGACACAGATGGAGACGTAAGAGACACTGAGCAGCTGCCTTTTCCCAAAGGGCATCTGCCAATTCTGGGCCTTTGAGAGCCTGAAGGTCCGAGAAAAGCCACCGATGAGACACAAAGCAGCTGAGCTTTTGGCCATGAGAGATCAAGTGAGAAGCGTGGGGACCCCAGGACTCTGGAGAGCAGGACACATACTCTGCTAGGTGTCCCCTTAAGACCGTCACCAATCCTGGAACCAAGCCCAGAGGGAGCCTCTAGAAGCTGGTGAGGCTGAAGACAGGCAGAAGGGACGAGGAGTCTACCCGGGCCCAGGACATGAGACACAACAGCATGGCCGACAGACTCACTCTAGCCAACAGAAAGCTCTAGGCCCCAGCGCAAGTCCCATCTGCAGGGGAACGCTCGCTGCCTGTGCACGGGAGGCAGTCACTGACACCGGCCACGTGCTGGGTAAAGAGCAGGATGCCATGGGCATCGGGACTGACATTACTAAAGTATATTCTGTGTCTAGCATTAAAGCTGGACAACAACAAAACAACGAGAAAATCCCTAACTGTCTGGAAACCAAGCAACGCATTTCAAGTAACCCATTAGCCAAAAGAAACTCGAAGTATTCTGAATTTAACAATGCAATTAAAAGAAAGATCGGCGCTACATGCAGAGCTGTGATTCCATTAAAATCCACACTTTTTTTTAAAGACTTTATTTTTAAGTAATCTCTGTAGCCATCCTGGGCTTAAATTTACAACCCCAAGATCAAGAGTTGCACACTCCACCTGCTGAGTCAGCCTGCAGTCCCTAAGATCTATACTCCTAAATGCATGTACTAGCAATGAAGATCGGAAATTAGTGATCTAAATATCCACCGTCTCACAGTGCATTTAGCAGTTGAACAAAATCAAGGTTTGCTGGTTTGTTTTGACAAGAATAATGGAACTGATAGACATCTAGCAAGACTAACCAAGGGAAAAAGGTCCGGTGGAAACCAATGCCATCAAGGATGCACCAGAAGAGAGAAGAGGATGTTCATAACGGGAGGTGATGACAGAGTATCAGATACTGACAAGAGAAAGTCACGAACTGTATGTCAATGAACATGAAAGTTGAGATGCGTATACAATTTTTTAAAAAGATTTTATTTATTTATTTAACTGAGAAAGAGAGCACGAAAGCAGGGGGAGCAGCAGAGGGAGAGGGAGGAGCAGGCTACCCACCGAGCGGGGAGCCTGACTTGGGGCTCGATCCCAGAACCCTGGGATCATGACCCAGGCCAAAGGCAGACACCTAACCAACAAAGCCACCCAGGTGCCCTGAGACACACACACAATTCTTTGCAAGGTACAACTTAAGCCATTATAAACTGCTGCTGTATAAAACCAAGACCAGATACATAAAGCCGAAATGGACATCTTCCATTAAAAATGGTCAATCTGTAATTAAAATTGTTCCCACAAAGGAATATCCGAGTTCTTCCAATAATTTAAGGAATAATGATATTAATCTTACAGAAATTCTTCTAATGAACAAATAGGGGACATTTCCCAACTTATCGTATGAGACCAACAAAACAATGATACAAAACCAGACAAGGACAGCACAAGAAAGCGTACAAATCAATCTTTCTTATCAACACGGGTGCAAAAATCTTTTTAAAAAATCAGCAAATTTAATCACACAATATTTTTAAATAACATATTATAACCAAGAGGGGTCCGTCAGAGGAATGCAAAGGCGGTTAAACATTCAAAAAGCGCTCTGTGTTTGCCGCAGCCTTCTTCCTACTGCCAACATGGAAGCCACCAAGATACCCTTCAGCAGGGGAAAGGGTAAGCAAACTGTGGTCCATCCCGGCAAGGAACATTTAGTGCGAAAGAGCAATGAGCTACCAAACCATGAAAAAACTTGGAGGAACTGCAAATGCATGTTACTGAGGGAAGCCGATCACAATCTATGATTCCAACTATACGGCACTGTGAAAGTGGCAAACCCATAGAGACAGTAAAATTTCAGTAGATGCAGAGTTGGGGGGATGGGGTGGGGATGAAAATGTGGAGCACAAGGGATTTTTAGGGCAGTGAAAGAGTACGTATGACGTATCACAATGACACATGTCACTGTACATCTGTCCACACACAGGATGTGCACCCCTAGAGTGAACCGTACAGCAAACCGTGCACTTCGGGTGATCTGGTAGGTCCGCGTATAACGCAAGCACCACTCTGCTGGGAGTGCTGACAACGGTACGGCTGTGCACGTTACCAGATCAGCGGGCAGAGGGGAAATCCCTGTACCTTCCCTCAAGTTTGCTGCAAGCCTAAAACTGCTCTCAAAACAAACAAAAACCGTCTTAATTTTTTTTTAAACCAATCAATACAACCAACCAGATTTCAGAAAGGAGGAGAACCACAGATGTCTTACTATATGCAGAAAAGCATCTGGCCAAGTTTACCAGCCACTCAGGATAAAAACTCTAAGCAAAGTAAAAACAGGAAGCAGCTTCCTTGAACTGAAGGGGGTATTTACATTAAACCTAATTTACACAGCGCTGGGAAGAGCCCCTGCCCGCCTCCGGGAACAGGAGTGAGCCGGTGGGCGCCCGCCACTACCACCGCTGGTCGCCACTGCTCTGGAAGTCTTCCCAGCCAGGTTCCATGGGCGAAAATGAAAGCAAAAGTCAGGGCTGGGAAGGAAGGAAGAAAAGTATCACTATTCCCAGACTGCACAGTTATGTGTGAAGAAAATCTCTGAGAATAACGTACGGGTAAACTGCTAGAATCAAGAATGAATGCGGCAAGGGTGCTGGACGGTCCGATGCAATCAACGACACTTCTGGTCGGCTCCGCACTCCGTCTCGCTCCCCGGGCCGGACAGCGGGCTGCGCACACACAGTGCCAGCTGCGTCCCGACAGGCAACCCTGCGTCCCCAGAGTCGCTCCGAGGAACTGGCACCCCAGCAGTGAAAGTCACTACCCGCAACACCGAGCGTGCCAAGGGATAAGCCAAACCAAAAACATTACCGCAACACGCCTCCACGGCCCGAAGTCCACGCAGAACCCGTCACAGGTCTTCAGGAAGCAGCGGAAACACGTCTCCGCAGAGAGAGCGCTGTCATCAGCTCAGCACCAGAGGCTCCGGCACTCGGCCACGGCCCCAGTCCAGGCAGCCCTGCGCAGGGGGCCTGGGGCTTCCTGCATCGGCAATGCTGACCTCGCTGCTGACTGCCGGAGCCTCAGCTCTCCCTTTACTCAGGAGACAGACACTTTTTCTGCTCTTGAAAGAAGTCCCAAGTCAGGGTGTGAGGAAACCAGGTGCTGACAAACCCTGGAGTTCACTCTGGGCCTCACCCCACGGTCTGATGTAAATGCCCCGCGTAACACAGCACATGTGAGGGAGAGGGGAAAGGAGCATCTTCCAGGGTCCCCTAGATGATCCTCGCTCTGACACACTAAGATCCACCGAGACCTGGCGCCAGCCCTTTAATACCACTGGGCTGTCCGCCAGACAGGAGGGACGCAACAAGGAATGCACACTGACCCGCTCAATTTAAACAACTTCAGACACAAACAAGTTTGGAGAATTTTTAAGGAGTTGGTGATGATCCTAGTTCCAGTAAACCCTTCAACAAACTAGATGGGTGTAAAAACTTTCTCCTTCCAAATGCTCTCCTTTCATACAAGATTTGGGTTTTTCTTCTCACAGAGTCTAACCCGAATATACTAAATTTCCTACGTGGATTTTACTTAACGAAGAGGTCACACTACTTAAATATTTAATGTTATAGTATCAGTATGTGACAGCCTGTATTTTCCCAAAGAAGCTGTAACACTGGTCCTGAACTGTCTCTCCAACAGGTGTAGGCTACGTTCCTTGCCCTCGAGTCGGGGAGGGGGGCACTTCTGACCAGCCTAAGAAACATCCTACACTAGGTATGATAAGGCAAACCAGGTTCCCTTGGTTCCCTTGGTTCTCTTGGGCTACTCGCTCACAAAATCCAACCAACAGGCTCTCCAGAAGCCCAAGAACTGAGCTCCGACAACCGAAGCCTTAGCCGGGCTTCCCGCCAAGAGCCAGCACAGGCTTCTGAGCCACGGGGCAGAGCCATCCTCTGAGGGGGCCCTCTGGCTCCCAGTTGTGACACCCGAGCTCCCACCACACGGAAACAGCTGTCCCTGTCGAGCCCTGTCCAGACTGCAGATCTGAACAAAATAATTCTTGTCACTTTAAGCCACGCAGTGCTGGGATGACTTGCCATGAG